AGAACAGCCTGGGCACAGTTGCTGACACCTGTAATCCTGTGCACTTTGGGAGGCTGAGGGGGTGGATGACCTGAGGCACAGGAGTTCAGACCAGCCTGGGCAATGGGTAAAGCCCCCATCTCAAACTCTGTCTCCAAAAAAAACAGTGAGTTTCGGCACACACCTGTAATCCGAGCTACTTGGGAGACTGAGGCAGGAGAATCGCTTGAACCCAGGAGGCGGAGGCTGCAGTGAGCCAAGATTGTCCCACTGCACTGCTGGGCATGGTGGCAGGTGCCTTCCGTAATCGCAGTAACTGGGGAAGCTGAGGCAGGAGAATAGCTTGAACTCAGTGGTGAGAGGTTACAGTGAGCCGAGATGGAGTCACTGCACTCCAGCAATCCTGAGGAGACTTAAGAACTAAACATAGTATGGTCTCCTGGATGAGATCTTGGGACAGGAAAAGAACATTAGGGAAATAGTAAAGTAGAAATCTGAATCAAGATGAACCTTAGTTAGTAATAATGTATCAGTATTGGTTTATTGGGACCGGAGATGGTGGCTCACATCCTAGCACTTTGGGAGGCTAAGATGGGAAGATCTTGAGGTCAGGAGTGTGAGACTAGCCTGGGCAACATAGCGAGACTACATCTCTCTAAATTTTTTTTTTCTTTTAGTTAGTCAGCATGGTGGCAGGTACTTACAGTCCCAGCTGCTAGGGAGGCTGAGGAGGGAGAATTGCTTGAGCCCAGGAGTTTGACGCTGCAGTAAGGTGACTGTGCCATTGTGCTCCAGCCTGGTCCAATTTTTCATTAAAAATTTTTTTTTCTTGAGATGGGGTTTCACTCTGTTGCCCAGGCTGGAGTGCACGATGATCTCGGCTCAGTGCAACCTCCGCCTCCTGGTTTCAAGTGATTCTTCTGCATCAGCCCCGCAGCTGGGATTACAAGCATGCCCCCCACCACTTCCGGCTAATTTTGTATTTCTTAGTAGAGACTGGCTTCCATGTCGGTCAGGCTGGTCTTGAACTCCGACCTCAGTGATCCTCGCCTGCCCCGGGCCTCCCAAAGTGTTGTGACTATAGGCATGAGCCACCGCGCCCGGCCTTAAATTTTTTTTTTTTTTTTTAACTAAAACAAGGTCTCACTGTGTATCCCAGACTAGTCTTGAACTCCAAGACTCAAGTGATTCACTCCGCCTTGGCTTCCAAAGTGCTGGATCATAAGTGTGAGGTACCATGCCCAGCCAGGTTTTTTAGCTGTAGCAATTTACCATACTAATTTAAGATGTTCATAAGAAGGAAGCCAGGTACAAGGGTATGTGTGAACTTTGTGCTGTCTTGGCAATTTGTCTGTAATTCTAAAACTGTTTTAAAATTAAAAGTTTACTCAACTTCCCATCGTGCCGCTAAAGAAAAATAATAATATTTCAAGTGTTTTATTTGAAAATATTTCTTATTTATTTTTTTGAGACAGGGTCTCACTCTGTCACCCAGGCTGGAGTGCAGCAGTGCAATGTTGGCTCACTGCAAGCTCTGCCTCCCCAGGTTCAAGCAATTTTTCCACCTCAGCCTCCCAAGTAGCTGGGATTACAGGCATGCACCACCACACCCGGCTGATTTTTGTATTTTTAGTAGAGACGGGGTTTCACCATGTTGGCCAGGCTGGTCTTGAACTCCTGGCTTCAAGCAGTTCACCCACCTTGGCCTCCCAAAGTGCTGGGACTACAGTCGTGAGCCACTGCGGCCGAACTATTTTTTAAATACTTTTTAGAACCAAAGTCTTGTTATGCTGCTCAGGCTAGATTCTAACTCCTGTGCTCAAGCAATTCTCCTGCCTCAACCTCCTGAGCAGCTGAGACTACAGCTTGTGCCACCACACCCAGCCAAAAAGTTTATGTTCCTTTTTTTAAAAAAGAGAGGGCTTAGGACTTCCTGGAGCACAGACTTCAAATAGCAGTTGAGTCCACCGCTGTACTCCTCTCTCCGGATCTTTCTTCCTTGAATGTCAGAAAAGCAAGCTTGGCCCTTGCTCAGTGTGAAGTTCTTAGGCCCACCGGTGATTGTCAAGTTTCTGACGGCCAGTCCCGTGGGCTCTGGGCTTGCTTAGCTAACCCTACAAATGCAGAAGCCAAACTTTTACCAAATATATCTATCTATCTAGATGTATGTCTGTATACAGCTTTTTTGTTTGTTTGTTTGTTTGTTTGTTAGAGATGGAGTCTAGCTTGTCACTCCAGGCATTTGTATTTCCAATACAAACTTTTAAAATGATATTATGAAGCATTAAGTAAAATTCTACATTATTAGGCTAGGGACGGTGGTTTATGCCTATAATCCCAGCACTTTGGGAAGCCAAGGCAGGCAGATTGCTTGAGCTCAGGTATTTGACACTTCTGGGCAATACAGCAAGACCCTGTCTCCACAAAAATAGAAAATGAGCTGGGCATGGTGGTGCGTGGCTGTAGTCCCAGCTGTTTGGGAGACTGAGGTGGGAGGATCACTTGAGCCCAGGAATTTGAGGCTGCAGGGAAACATGATTGAGCCATTGCACCCCAGCCTGGGTGCCAGAGTAAGACCCCTGCCCAACCCCCCCAAAAAAAGTTAACATCATCATAATTGTACTCTAAATTATTAGCAAAATGAAAGAAAATTAAATATTATTTAAAAATAGGCGAGGTGCAGTGGCTCATACCTATAATGCCAGCACTCTGGGAGGGCAAGCAGGATCACCGGAGGACAGGAGTTCAATACCAGCCTGGCCAACATGCTGGAACCCCATTTCTACTAAAATTGCAAAAGTTTGCCCGCTCAGGTGGTGCGTGCCTGTAATCCCAGCTACTCAGAAGGTTGAGACAGGAGAATCGCTTGAACCCGGGAGGCGAATCGCTAGAAGTGAGCTGAGATGGAGCCACTGCCCTCCAGCCAGGGTGAAGGAGTGAGACTCCATCTCAAAAATAAATTAATAAATAAATAGCTAAACAGTTGGTTCAAATGGACATAAAGATGGAAATAACAGACACTGGGAACTCCACAGGTAGGGAGGGAAGGAGGGCAAAGGGTTGAAAAACTGCTCATTGGGTACTATGGTCAGTGTTTGGGTGATGGGTTCACTAGAAGCCCAAACCTTAGCATTTTGCAGTGTACTCATGGAACACACCTGCACATGTGCCCCATGAATCTAAAGTTTAATACAATAAAAATAATAAACTTAGTGCAAAAGACAATTGTAGATGTTTAATCATAAAACACAAGATAAAATAGCACTTGATTTTTTGTTTTGTTTTGTTTTGTTTTGTTTTGTTTTTTCAGGCCGTGTCATTCTGTCACCCAGGCTGGAGTGCAGTGGTGAGATGCCGTTCACTGCAACCTCTGTCTCCTGAACTCAAGCAATTTCGTGCCTCTGTCTCCCAGTAACTGGGATTACAGGCGCACACCTTCCGCCCTGGGTTCAAGTGATTCTGCCTTAGCCTCCCGAGTAGCTGGGACTACAGGACCCGCCATCACGCCCGGCTAATTTTTTTGTATTTTCAGTAGAGACGGGGTTTCACCATGTTGGCCAGATGGCCTTGCCTCCCACCTCATGATCCGCCCACCTCAGCCACTATAGCCTTGAACTCCTGGGCTCAAATAATCATCCTGACTCAGCCTCCTGGATAGTTGGAGCTACAGGTGTGTATCATCGTGCCCAGCAATTTTTTTTTTTTTTTTTTTTTGACTTTTCTGCAGAAACAAGCTCCTGCCATGTTGCCTGGACTGGTCTCCAATTCCTGACCTTAAGTGATCCTCCCACGTCAGCCTCCCAGTGTTGGCATTACAGGCATAAGCCACTGTGCCAAGCCTTTATCACATCTGAAGTCAGTAAAGAAGTGGACTATCTCGGTCTGGCCGGCACGGTGGCTCATGCCTGTAATCCCAGCACTTTGGGAGGCAGAGGCGGGCGGATCACGAGGTCAGGAGATCGAGACCATCCTGGCTAACACCTTGAAACCCCGTCTCTACTAAAAACACAAAAAAATAGCTGTGGTGGTGGTGGGTGCTGTTGTCCCAGCTGCTTGAGAGGTTGAGGCAGGAGAATGGCGTGACCCAGGAGGTAGCTTGCAGTGAGCCAAGATCACACCACGAACTGTAGCCTATGCAACAGCGAGGAGACTTGTCTCAAAAAAAAAAAAAAAAAAAGGGTGGATTATCTCATAGACCAGAGATTTCAGAACAAGCCAGTATTTTGGCTATTCTTGGCCCTTTGCATTTTTTTTTTCTTTGAGACAGAGTTTTGCTCTTGTTGCCCAGGCTGGAGTACAATGGCAATTCCCAGCTCACTGTAACTCTGCCTCCCAGATTCAAGCCTTGTCTCAGCCTCCTGAGTAGCTGGGATTACAGGCATGTGCCACTACACTTGGCTAACTTTTTTGTGTTTTTATAGTAAGAGACGGCTCTGTCAAGTTGGCCAGGCTGGATCTGAATCCTTGATCTCAGGTGATTCACCTGCCTCTGCTTCCCAAAGTTTTGTGATTACATGTGGAGCCACCACACCCAGCCTGCATTTTCATATAAATTTAGAATTAGCCGGGCGTGGTGGCAGACATCTGTAATCCTAGCACTTGGAGAGACTGAGGTGGGATGATTTCTTGAGCCCAGGAGTTTGAGGCTTCAGTGAGCTGTAATTGCACCACCATACTCCAGCTTAGACAACAGAGCAAGACGCTTTCTAAAAACAAAATTAGAATCAGCTTGTCAATATTTATTAAGAAATATGTTGAGATTCATCCTAATGATGACTGTTTGTTTAAAGAAAAAAGCGCTGGACTCAGTGGCTCACATCTGTAATCCCAGCACTTTGGGAGGCCGAGGCAGGCAGATCACAAAGTCAGGAACTCGAGACCACTCTGGCTAAAACCGTGAAACCCCATCTCTACCAAAAATACAAAAGAAAAAAAAAAAAAAGCCGGGTGTCGTGGGGGGCACCTGTGGTCCCAGCTACTTGGGAGGCTGAGGCAGGAGAATGGCGTGAATGCGGGAGGCGGAGCTTACAGTGAGCTGAGATTGCACCACTGCACTCCAGCCTGGGTGACAGAGCGAGACTCTCTCTCTAAATAAATAAGTAAATAAATAAATAAGGAAAGAAAGAAATCTGTTTAGATTTTGATAAGAATTACATGTAATCTACAAATCACTTTGAGGAGAACTGATCTTTATGATATTGAGTATTCCAATCCATGAACATGGTATATTTCTCCAGACTCACACAAATATTAATGAATGCAAAAGAAAACATAGGATGGTAGGGTTGTTGATTCAGAGAACACCCATGGAAATGTCATTCTGGCACTACTTGCCTTCTAAGGGCTGCCTCTGCTCCTTACTTCCTTTTTCTAGGTTGCCCGATTATTATGTGAACTTGTCCTATGCCCAGTGCTGATTGATTCAGGGGAACGCACCTGCCCAGGCCAGTCCAATAAATGTCTTTACACAGATTTTTCAACTGGAGACAGAAAGAGAGTTGAACCAGGCTCTCTGATTGCAAAATATAAAATTTAGGAGCTCCTGGTAACCATGCTTCAGATTATGTGAACTAGAGGATTGGGGGAATTGCTGAGAAATAAGGTCAAATCTCAAAGAAACGGAGACATGACAAGAGAAGAGAGTGGTGTTTGAGTCTCTGGCTCCACAGAGTTCTTACGGTCAATGAGTTCTGAGAGATAGTCAGAACTATCTTGTTTATGAATTCCATGAGACAGCCCAAAAATCTGTCTTTAGGCTTAAGCTAGTTTGAGTTGGGTTTCTGTCACTTGGAACAAGAGTCCTGACTACTGCAGTTGAGTGGAGTTAAAAGGTATAGCCTCAATAGGTGAGCTAGCTCTCGGTTTAAAAGGCTTCCAGTTTGAATTACACTCCATTCCCTCTGGTGCCCCTAGAAAGAGCCTTCTCTAACACAGGCCTGGAACTAGCAGACATGCTTTTGTTTTTTTTTTCTTTGCAGGAATTGTACTGCCTTGATTTGGGACAGATTATCAGAGGTGGGCACCGTTATCCTCTCTTTCATGCAGGATTAATCACTTGTAAGTATTTGTCTTATGTTTGGATGCTACATTTTGGTTAGAATTTAATGATCATATCTCTCATCAAGATTACCCACATGATCACTCTAAGGCTGTTGTAAGCCTAACTGACAAGTACTCCATATGTCAAGGTGTCAAGTGCAACCCAAAATAAGATGTAAGCACCAAATGGGACTGAGAGAGCAATGCTAGAAATCTTCACCCTTCCTGCCTTTCTTGATGATAACCATGCGTCCTGTGAGGGAAATAGTGTTATAGTGATAGAAAGGTAAGGTTCTGAAATTGGAAGAGATTGGAGGCCAGGTGTGGTGGTTCACGCCTGTAACCTCAGCATTTTGGGAGGCCAAGGTGGGTGGATTGCTTGTACCCAGGAGTTCCAGATGAGCTGGGCAACATTGTGGGACCCCATCTCTAAAAATAAAAATAAAAAAAATTAACTGGGTGTAGTGGCTCACGCCTATAATCCCAGCTACTCAGGGGGCTGAGATGGGAGGATCACTTGAGGAGGTCAAGGCTGCAGTGAGCTGTGATCATGCCACTGCACTCCAGCCTGGGTGACAGAGTGAGACCCTGTCTCCAAAAAAAAAAAAAAAAAAAGGATTGGAGGGAAGAATTTTTGAAGATACTGTGGTGCAGGAAAAGGGCGTGCTGTGTATATGCAGATGGTCATCAGCTTTCCAAACTTAACTCTGGAACAGGCTACCTTTCATACATTTTATATGCTGTATACTGACAGACCCAACACACTTTTCATAGGACACATTTGAGCCTTTTTTTTTTTTTTTTTAATGTTTTTAAGACAGAGTCCTGCTCTGTCACCCAGGCTGGACTGCAGTGGCACAATCTTGGCTCACTGAAACCTCTACCTCCTGGGTTCAAGTGATTCTCCTGCTTCAGCCTCCCAAGTAGCTGGGACTGTAGGTGTGTGCCACCACGCTCAGTCTGGGCAAGCAGCCCCAAGAACCCAGCCGATGTGAAGGGTCCTGTGGTCAGGCTGGTGGGACGGGGTCGACGGCAGAGCCCCAGGGTTTGTTTGGGTGGAGCCCGTGCTTCACCAGGAGAGGTGAGTGGGCCAGGTGTCCCAGGGGACAGGAAGCTCCAGGCCATGCCAGGCCATGCCAGGCTTAGGCCTCCCCACACCCTGCCAGGACAGTTTTGTGTGCTGTGGGAGAGACCCCTAGATTCCAAACTTAGACTCCAGAAACCAAGAAGGAGGGAGCACAGCCTGCTGTGGGTACACACGGGGAAACTGAGGCTGCAGAGGAAATGACTGGACCAGGACCTGGCAAAGGGGACTTGGGAAGGCCCCTAGGAAGGTGCAGGGTTGTCTGCTCTCCAGATGGCTCTAGTGGAAAGGAGGGAATTAAGATGGGGGGAGAGACCCTGGGTGGACCAGATGGCCACACCATGAACCCTCCCAGAGACTTCAGACAGAGAGAGGTGCTCCACAGCACCCCACGCTACCTCTGCCATCTCTCACACCCTCCTCTGTCCACACAGGTCAGCCCAAGGCCATCCCCTCAGTCACTCTGTTTCCGCCATCTTCTGAGGAGATGCAAGCCAACAAGGCCACACTGGTGTGTCTCATGAGTGACTTCTATCCAGGAATCTTGATGGTGACCTGGAAGGCAGATGGGACCCCCATCACCTAGGGCGTGGAGATGACTGTGCCCTCCAAACAGAGCAACAAATACGTGGCCAGCAGCTACGTGAGCCTGACGCCCAAGCAGTGGAGATCCCGCAACATCTTCAACTGCCAGGTCACGCATGACGGGAGCACTGTGGAGAAAGACAGTGGCCCCTGCAGAATGTTCTTAGGTTCCCAACCCTCGCCCCACCCACAGGGGCCTGGAGCTGCAGGATCCCAGAGGAGGGGTCTCTCTGCATCCCAAGCCATCCAGCCCCTCTCCCTGTACCCAGAAAACCCTCAAACGTCTTTTGTCAACCAGAAATCCTGCTCCCTCTCTTCATTTCTTATCTCTCATACAATTTGATGCTTCTCCTGGGTGCTCAGTGTGGCGTTGGGGGAATCCTGGCACCAGTGGGAAAGTAGCCTGGAGGAGAGGATCACAGGCTCCCAGGCGTGTCCCCTGGGGACATAGGCCAGGATAGGAGGAGTCGGCTCACTGAACACCAGTCCATCCATTCTCTCCCACCTCCCCTTCCTCCTTGCAGCTCACCCTCCAACTTGCTGCCTGTGTTTTGGAGGGAGCTCTTTCTGGCTGAGCCTCCAGATACACCCTCTGTCCCTGTCCTGGTCTGGACCTTCCCCTGACCCACGGCCTCTTTCCTCAGCCTGGAAATCCTACTCTAGGCCTGGAGTCCCTCTGCTTCTGGCTCTGGCCCCTGGAATGCCGTCCTTCCTCTCTGTCCAACTCCCCACCCCCAAGGGCTGGACTGTCTAGGACACTGCCACACCATCAAATTCATGAGCTCTTAAATTTGGGGCCCACTTTGATTTTTCACCTGACAGCAGGTTCAGAGGTGTGAGAAAAATAGGAGGAAGTCAGGAAGGAAACACACATGAAAGGCCTGCAAGAGGCTCAGGACACTTGTAAAAGATAGGCTCTGAGCTCCCCAGGAACAAGTGCAAGAACGGCAATAGGTGCTCCATCATTTATTTCTTTCTTTTTTTTTTTCTTAGATGGAGTCTCTCTCTGTCGCCCAGGCTGGAGTAAATAGAAAAGAGAGTGGTCAACACTCTAAGAATTTTCCATCTCAAGAAGTCAGGAAAAGAACAAATTAACCTAAAGAGTACAGAAGAAAATACTAAATGTAATAGTAATTGATGAAATAAAAAATGAATAAATAATAGAGACCACCAAAAAGGCCAAAAATTTGGTACTTTTAAAAGACTAGTAAAATTGATAAATCCCTGATGAGACTAATCAAAAGAAAAAAGGGGAAAAGGCACCAAGAAAGCAATGTAAGGAATAAGAAAAGGAACACCTCTGTAGACATTAAAATGGTAAAATGATATTGTGAACAATTTGATGTTAAGACATTTCAAAGTTAGATTACATGGATAAATGCTGGGAAAACTATAATCTACCAAAATGGGCAAAATAAATAAAATTATTTAAAAATTCTATATGTGGAATTGAATTTAAAGACTTCTCTCCAGAGAAAACTCTAGGCCAATGTGCCTTTATTGGTGAATTTAACTTTACACTTAAGAAAGAAAAAAATCAGCATGTGTAAATTTACCTAGAGAATAAAAGCAGAGAAAATGAAATCTAACTCATTTTATGAAGCCAAGATTTGAAGAAACTATGAGAAAGGAAAATTATAACCAATTGCCCAGATTACATGAATTTAAAAATCCTAAACAAAATATTAGCAAACAGGATCTGGCAATTTAATAATAAAATAATTTAATAATTATTTGACAAAATAATATAGCACAAGTAAATTACGTTTATTCCAGAAATATGTTGGTTTACCACTTAATGTAATTAGCCACATTTATTAATAGGATAAAGTAGAAAAATTATCATCTCAAAGATTCAGAAAAATCTTTAAAAATTCAACATCCATTCATGATTGGAAAAAAAAAAAAAAACCAAGTCTTAGCAAACTAAAGGAATTTCTTTTTTCTTTCTTTTTTTTTGTTTTGCTTTGTTTTGTTTTTTGAGACAGAGTCTCACTCTGTCATCCAGGCTGGAGAGCAGTGGTGCGATCTTGGCTCACTGCAACCTCTGCCTCCTGGGTTCAACTGATTCCCTTGCCTCAGCTGGAGTAGTTGGCATTGCAGGCATGCGCCCCCACACCTGGCACATTTTTGTATTTTTGAATAGAGATGGGGTTTCACCATGTTGCCTAGGCTGGTCTTAAATTCCTGGCCTCAAGTGTTCTGCCCCCCTGGGCCTCCCAAAGTGCTGGGATTACAGGTGTAAGCACAGCACCCAGCCAAGGAATTTCTTAATCTAATACATGGTAGCTAACACACACACACACACTCATAAAGCAATTGGAGAGATGTTGAAAGCTTTTCCTTTGAGAATGGAACTGTATGTTGGTGGTCACTATTGCCACTTCTAATTCTACACTGTACTAAAGTTTCTAGCCAGTGCTAGGGGAGAGAAATGACTGAAATAGAAAAAATACAATGTATTATTTTCGTATGATGTAATCATGTACCATAAAATCCAAAAGAATCTATAGATATATTAGTAGAACTAATAAGTGAGTTTAGGCTGGACACAGTGGCTCAGGCCTGCAGTCCTAGTACTTTGGGAGGCGGAGGCTGAGGCTGGCAGATCACTTGAGCCCAGGAGTTTGAGACCAACCTGGGCTACATAGCGAAACCCCATCTCTACAAAAAAATCAAAAAATTAGCTGGGCATGGTGGCACCTGCCTGCGGTCCTAACTACTCAAGAGGCTGATATGGGAGGATCACCCGAGCCCAGGGAGGTTGAGGCTGTAGTGAGCCATGATCATGACACTGCACTCCAGCCTGGGTGACAGAATGAGACCCTACCTCAAAAAAAACAAAAAACAAAAAAAAAAAACAAAAAAAAAAAAGTTAGTTTAGGAAAGTTGCTAATTGCAAGATGAATAAATAAAATGAACTGCATTTAAAACAACAAAAAAAATTTAGAAAATAAACATCTTAAAGCGATATCATTTAAATAACCACACAAAAACAATCTAGGCATAAATCTTGCCAAAAATATGCGAGCTTTCTATACAGAAAATGAGAAAGCATTGTAAAGAGAAATTGAAGAGGACCTAACTCAACGAGAAGAATACCTCTGTTTATGGGTTGGATGAGTCAATATTGTAAAGACTTGATTCTCCCCAGGCTATAAATTCAATGCAATTCCAAACAAATTTCTATCCAGTGTGTGTAATTTGACTAGTTGATTCCAAACTTTACATGGAAATGTAGATGACCTAAAATACCCAAACAATTGTGAAGAAAAAGGAAAAGATAATTATACTCCATGACTGGAAATGAGGACGTATTAGAAAGCCACAATAAGATAGTTGTGCTATTGGCACACAGATGAAAAATCGATGAACAGAACAGAAAGGTCAGAAACAGATTCATGTTCTGCAAGGTAGTAAAGAAACGAAAATCTTCTCAACCAGTGTGCTGCAATAATTGGATAGCCATACATGGAAAAAGATGAAACCTGATGCCTTCCGCACACCACACACATAAATCAATTTTAAAAGGAATGAACCTTCTAGAAGAAAATATAGTAGTAAAATGTCCTTTAAACTCAAGGAAAATTGTCTTAATCAGGACCCAAACACACAAACTTTATAAAGGGAGAGCATGGTACCTATGACGGTAATCCAACTAAGAACCTCTGTCAACCAAAAGATACTCCTGAGAGAGAGAAAAGGCAAATCACAGAGCAGAAAAGCTTTCTTGAAATACATTTATGATCAGTAACATAATTGAAATCAGAATACACAAAGAACTCCTACAATCAAGAGAAAAAAGATGAGTAACCCAGGAGAAAAACGGTTAAGAAAATTTAAAATTTACTATACAAAAAAGGATATCCAAATACTTAATAATCTTAAAGAAACTTCCTCAGTTTTCTTAGTAATTATAGAAATGCAAATGATCACCACTGTAAGATGCCATCACACAAACACCCAAAGGCTAAAAATAAAAATACTCAGAATTGCAAGTATTGGGGAAGATATGGAACGCTTGAAGTATACAATACCAGTGGAGTAAACATTTGTACAACTGTTTTAGAAAACAGGTGACATTATCAAGTAAAGTTCAAGATTCATTACCCTAAGACAGAACAATTTTAGTCCAAGGTATATACTCAACAAAAATGTGGCCACATGTGCAAGAAGAAGCGTATATTTTTAAAACCAGTATTATTGGGCTAGGCGCGGTGGCTCATGCCTGTAATCCCAACACTTTGGGAGGGAGAGGAAGGCGCATCACTTGAGGTCAGGAGTTTAAGGCCAGCCTGGACAACATGGCAAAACCCCATCTCTACTAAAAATACAGCTGGTGTGGTGGTGGATGCCTGTAATCCCAGCTACTTGGGAGGCTCAGGCACCAGAATTGCTTGAACCCAGGAGGCAGAGGTTGCAATGAACTGAAATCATGCCACTGCACTCCAGCCTGGGTGATACAAACAAACCCAGGCTGATACAAACAGCCTGGGTGATAAAAACAAACAAAAAAAGCAGTATTATTTATCACAGTAAAAATTGGAAACAACCTAATATCATAGAAAAAAGGAGATGCCATTTTCAGTTACAATTTGTGTAGGAACGAATTTTTGAAAAGATATGCAAAGACATGATGAAAAAAGTATAAAACATTATTTTAAAAGGAACAAGATAATTCATATGTACAACTCAATATTGCAAAGTTGTCAGTTCTCTCAAGTTAATCAATAATTTCAATGTAGTTCCAACAAAAATCCTAAAAGCGTTTTATTATGGTATTTCACAAAATGACTTTAAAACTGAACATCATAATAAAGTTCCAAGGAGAGCAAGACTATTCTGCCTTTATCAAACTATATTATAAAGCTACAAAAATTACAAAAGTGTGGTAGAGAGAAGTTAGAAACAGTTTTGAGTATTTATAGAAATTTAGTATATTACTGAGAGGGATTACAAATTAATGGAGAACAAAATAGCATGCAATTGATGGTGTTGGGACAATTGGCTATCTATATGAAAAAAATACCTCTCCCAACTTCCAATTAGATTAAAGACCCAAATATTAAAAATAGAACTTGAATATTTTTGAAGAAGTGTGGAATATCTTCACTACATCAGTATAGGGGTGAATTTCTTAAACATGACAGAAAAGCATGAAATACATACACACACATAGATGAACAAATTTTACTACCTTCAAAATTACAAACTCCTCTCCAGGCACGATGGCTCATGCCTGTAATCCCAGCACTTTGGGAAGCTGAGGTGGGTGGATCACTTGAGTCCAGGAGTTCGACACCAGTGTGGGCAACATAGTGAGACCCTGTCTCTACCAAAAATACAAAAATTAGCCAGGCATGGTGATGCTCGCCTGTAGTCCCACCTACTCAGAGGGGCTAAGATGGGAGGATCGCTTGAACCTCAGGAGTTTCAGGCTGCAATGAGCCGAGATCGTGCCACTGCACTCCAGCCTGAGTGACAGAGTGAGATCATGTCTCAAAACAAAACAAATTTACAAACTTTTGTACAACAAAATAAATCACAATCAAATTTAAAAGGCAATATGTTGGGAGAATGTAATTGCAATACTAAGAAAAATTGGCATTCAGATTCTTGACGAACTCCTATAAATCAATATAAAATATTTTTACTATCATGATACTGTTGGTAACCTGCAGGCAGCAACCACAGAAGACAGCAAGACTAATATGAACGAACACTTAAAAAAGAGGCTGCTCTGGTACATACCAGCTGAATATTAATCCTCTAAATAACCTTTAACAAAATCAACAAAATATTATGTGAACACAGAATAACGTAAACCCCCTCTCAGCAAAAAAGAAAAAAGTCAAATTTGAAACGAATGCTTTCCTTCAAGCAAGGAATTAGCATTAGTTAATAGAAAACTGATGCTAACTTCTTGAATGATAACATTTTAGGTTGGGCAATGTGAAATGGCCATTTTTAAAGCAAAAGATGGTTTAAAACTGGCAATTTCAAATGATTCAACCTCTATATTCTTAACTATGGTATTGTAAATTGCCAGTTTATACACAATATTCCAACCTGTAGAGCTAAACACAGAACCTGTATATCAACTAATATACAGCTAAACACAGAACCTGTATATTAACTAATGGGCTTGAAACTAGTCAATAAGACTAAAACTTGATTTTACTGAATTATGTAAGTCAGTTTACAGTGTTATGTTTTCCTGGAATTTGATATAAAAATTGATTTAGAGCCCACTAAAAATGTAATTATTTATGTTTGTCAAAAATTGTGAAATATGCTTAGATGATTAGTTAAAGCCTAAACCTGAAGAGAGAAAATCTAACTAAACTTAAATTGGTTGAATTTACAAAATTGGCCTTTTTATCCCCATTTTAAACTCACCAATGTCAACTTTGTATCATTACACTATAAAATTTCCAG